ATTCTTCTTCTTGATTCTTCTTCTTCTTCTCCTCCTCTTCCTCCTCTTCTTCTGTCAATTGTAGGACTTAAACTCAGGGCCTAGGAACTGTCTGAGCTTTTTTTTTTAAGGCTCAAGACTAGCACTCTACTACTTTGAGCCACAGCACCACTTCCAGTTGGTTCATTGGAGATCAGAGTCTCATGGATTTTTCTGCCCAGGCTGGCTTTGAATCGTGATCCTCAGGCCTCAGCCTCCTGAGTGGCTAGGATGACAGGCATGAGCCACCAGCACCTGGCAAGGCAGAAGGGTCCTTTTCCCATCTCTGCTCTGGCCCCTCACGTCTGACAGAGTCGAATGACAGCATTGCTGTGTGTGCTTCTGCCGTGCAGTAACAGGTCCCCTCCGGTTCCTCTTTGCCCATGTTGACTGCATTTGGGTCTGACACTCGGACCCTGGTCCTCTCTGCTATTCCCAGTGGCGTGGAGGTTGGATCATGTTAAGGATGAGGACACTGGGAATGTCAGGGAGGAAAAGCCTAAACGAGTGACGTCAGAGCCGACTCCTCCTGACTCATGGGCTAGCGCACAGGACACTGTCAGAGTGCAGGTGAGACACTGAGCAGGAAAAGGCTGCCCACAAGGCGGGTCATTAGCAGGACTGCCCCCCCCCTCACCCAAGTACCTCCGATTCCCACATGACCTCTAACCCCACCCCTTTGGGGGAAGCCACTATCATCCTGATGTTCTTTGTCTGGGTCAGATTTTCATAATGGCTTCGCTTATTTGAAGCTGAGAGCAGGAAACATCTAACTCTGACAGGGTGATAGGGCATCTCTTAGCTTCCAAAGACCTTTCCTAGGAGGAGAGCTGCCTGCAGCCCCCCCAGCCCTGGCCTTGGCTAGAAGGCTCGGTTAGCCGATTTCCTGCCGGCAGCGGGGACTGCTGGGATTGCTCTGCACCCATGGCTGTCAGGAGCCTCTTACTGTGACTTGGGCACATCGGCACAGAGGCTCCTCCGGTTCCAGGGGGAGGAAGCACGTGGACAGAAGGTGAACTCTCAGCGCTTGCTATGAAATGGGGGATGTTTTTCTCTCTCAGCATTAAAGCCAGTTTTTAAACCTCTTTTTTTTTTAGATAATTGGCCCCAAAGACACATCTGAAAATGTATCTTTTGTGTGCAAATGTCTGAAGCTTTACTTTGGTGGGTAAAGTGCTTCTTGCTCACTTAGCAACAGGTCAATATTTACCTAGTGATGCATATTTTTGTTCTTAAGAAGTGTTTGCTTTTACTGAAACAAGCAGATCAAAGCTCCATTAGGAATCCTGGAAAGGAAAATCTAGACAGTAGCACAGTCTCTCCTTTTTTTTGAATAAAAATTGTAATGCATACTCATTTAAAAAAAAAAAAGACAAGGCACAGAAAAATCCCTACCATTTTCCCAACCAAAGATAAGGTACCACTGCTACCGTGGTTATCTCTGTGTTCTTTGCTTCTGTTTTTGTTTCAGGACAACCAGGTGGTGCTGGAGATCAATCCCAAGGACTCGGGAAAGCTAGGCAGGTGCTCTGCTCCTGAGCTACATCCCCACCCTTCCTGGGTTCTTAGTGTTGCTTTTGAACTCTGGGGCTCAGGCCTGTTTGGCGAGTGCTCTACCACTTGCACCACATCCCCCCGTGCTTTTGCTCTGGGTTTTGTTCAGACTGTGTCTTGTGCTTTCTCCCCCATGGAGAGAGAAATGGTTCAGCCATGTGACAGCAGGGGACCCATCCTAATCTCCACCCTGTGTCAGTTCCCAACTTTTACAATAAGGACTTGGGGCTGGCATGGGTGCAGGACATCAAGTCGGGCTTCTTGACTTCTAAGAAGTCACTTGAGAAGTCTGACATTTAAAACGCTTGGGAAGCCTTACCAGAGGGTCCGGGTGATCCAGAGCCGGCTGTGGGCTCCCAGGGGGGCAGGGGTTCAGGAGAAGCAGCAAGGCGGGGGGTTGGGGCTCCTCCTGCCATTGCCACAGCGGGCCGGGCTTTCCTGTGACAGGTGGCACCAGATCCTCATGGCTGGAGCCCAAATTGGTGTGCTTAGTCACAAGTTTGAACAGTGAGTCCACGTCAATCCCAAGTGAGATATTCCTTAAACCTCCTGTTTAAAATTGGAGATGAAGCATAACAACACAGAATTTTCCTTTTTTGATATTTGAATGAATGGAGATCCTTCTCTGTGAATACATATGTATTTTTGTAATCAGTCAACAGCATTTGATATCTGCTCTTCTAGTCTGTTCACTGCACCACACTCACGTCCTCACACGTAACACAATGCTGCTTCTCTCATTTCTACTTTGTCCATTGAAATCCCCTCTCTATCCCCTCAAGACCTTCTCCATTGCTACGTGTGTGTGTGTGTGTGTGTGTGTGTGTGTGTGTGTGTGTGTTTTGTCGGTCGTGGGACTTGAACTCTGGGCCTGAGCGCTGTCCCTTAGCTCTTCAGTCAAGGCAAGCGCTCTACCACTTAAGTCACAACACCACTTCCAGTTTTCTGGTGGTTTATTGGAGATAAGAGTCTCATGACTTTCCTGTCCGGGCTGGCTTTGAACCTCAATCCTCAGATGTCAGCCTCCTGAGTAACTAGGGTTACAGGATTACACGTTTTACCCATCTTCTGTCTCTACCTCGTTCTGAATGACAGGAATATACACAATAACTTCTCTCCGTACCCTCAGCTGTCTTCTGGAGGCTGGAGAAAGGGATTGTCAGAGGTTTCTGTGTTCCCTTCCCCTAGAACCAATGTGTGCTGGTGTTTGTGAGAGGGCGAGATGGTCCTGTTGGTGACCTGGGTAAAGAGACCGCGTGTGGCCCGAGCTCAGGTAGCTCTGGACACAGGCCTGGCACCACCAAGTACAAGAAGGCGACCAAGGCGAGGGCTGAACTGTTGAACTGGACGTGGAGCAGCTGGAGGGCCGGCTTTGCCTTCCGAGCTGACACTCTCCATCCCTCCGCGCTTGTCCTGTTGTCCTGCGGGCTGTTGAACGAGTCGCCAGGGTCGGGAAGTGACTGCCTTGCCCTCCTCCCATCCCATTCTGCCCCAAGTTTCACGATATTCAGTTGGCTCGACCTTGGCTCTGTCTTCTGACTCCCACAGGTGGACTTGGTACTGTTAACCTGCCACGCAGGCTGCCCTTTGGTCGCTGCGCCCTTTCATTTTGTTGGCTAGTGAGCAAACCACTGCTTTGGTTCCAGAGTTGTTTCTTGGCCCCTTCACTGTGCCATGATCTAGCGACAAGAGGCGTCTGGTGGTAGCTGAGAGTCCCAGGCCTGTGGGAGGCCTCAGGTCCCCAGAAGGAAGAGGGGGCAAGGGAACAGTCTCCCGAGCCTCCCTGGGGAGCCAGGGGTGCGATGGGGACTGCAGTGGCCTGGGACACCAAAGGAAAGGGCTGAGTCACCGAGTTTAGTGACAGGGCCGCTGGGTGGTGGACAAAGACTAGTGTCACAGGCAGAACAGAGAAGTCACGGGGTGTGTGTGTGTGTGTGGAGGGGGGACTGTCCGTGGGAGCCACACTTGCGCAGGTACAAGTGTAGCAACAGGAAGCAACGCAAGTACAAGGCTCACTCACAGCCACTGACCTTGGCGTTTGCCTTTTGCGGTAAAGAGAACTTTCTAGAATCTCTGTATGACTTTGTGCACTCTCTCACTGTGGAGAAGTCTGGTGCCTCAGCTGGCCTGACTTCTCTCAAGAGTGGAGTTGTTGACCACTTGAGCAAATGTTTGTCTGTTTCCACGTCTCAGGAGGGCGCTGCTGCCTCCAGGGCCGTGACCCAGCTGGGGCCTCCTGTCACCAGACCAGCACCAGCAGCCGCTTCTTTGCAGCTTCTTTGCAGCTCCCTGAGCCGTGTGCCTCCGCTGAGCCCCCTGCATCGCCGCCTTCCCTCTGCACCTCTGCTCAACTATGTCCCAGTAGTTTCTCTAGCCAGTCAGGACTCTGAACTTGTTGCCTTTGCTGCCGGGAGGCCCTTAGCTTTAACCTGCCATCTTCTTCACAACAGCTCTTAGAGATGCCCCCTGGATGAGCCACGTGCCCACCCTGCCTCCTCCAGGCAGCTTGCCTTCCTTCTAATCCTGCCCCCCATGCCCTTCCAGTCATGATGTGCTTACATCATGAGGCACCCATGTTGGTGTGATATGCACTAGATTGGAGGGAGGGATGGAAAATTTTGCTGGCCATGGCCCTCCAGCCTCTCCTGCCAGCACTGTACAATCGCTCCTGTGTCTCCAAACCTGCCACGCGGGGAGGAGGGGTCTCCCGCCTGCCTGTGTCTGCCCAGCTGGTGGGTGAGGATGTTTACTCACTGCGATTTTAATTTGTATTTTTTTTTTTTTTGATGAAAGAGGCTGAGCATTTTTTAAATACACCTCTGAGAGCCATTTTTCTTTCCTTTTCAGCAAGTGTCCGTTGGTGCCCTCCAGCCATTGAGCTCACGGTCACTAGCCTGTTTTGTAGTCATTTGCAAGAGCTCTGTGTATATCAGGGAAATGAGTTCTTGGCGATATGAATTACAAATATTTGTTCCTGGTTTGTCGTTTGTCTTTTCACTTTGCCCGTGGCTGTATTTGCCATGTTGAGTGGAAGGTGTTTTTGTTTGTTTGGTTTTCATGTGTGCAAAGTCAAATGTCTCTCTCATTTCCAGGCTTAGGGTTTTCCTCAGAACGATCATTAATACAGAATTTTTAATTTATATATATATTTTTTCCAGCATGTACAGGATGTCATTTTTCTTTTGCAGTGTTTGATCCTGCTAGAGTTTATCTTGATGTGACATACAGCTTCATTCTCTTCTTTCTAGATGGCCTTTTATTTTATTTTATTTTGCCTCCTTCACCCCATTTACTCAGATGCCACCAATTTACCATCTAAGCCTCCTGGACGAACATAGGCATGGTTCCAGCGTTTACACTGGTGATCCTGAACACAGACTACTAGCAGGTTGTGCGGTGAGGGTCAATGTTCAGGCTGTGGGCAGTGCAGGGTGCCTCAGGCCCTCTTCTTCGTTCATGATTTCCTTGGCTGTGACAGCTAAGTTCACTTGTCGGTACCAATTTTTGAGTGCTTGTTTAAGTTCAAATATAGAAATCCGCTCATTTTTACTGCATTGAGTTCATAGGTAAGTTAGGGAGTATCGACGGTTTGTAATGCCAGGTTTTCCAGTCCAAGTTCATTTCTTCAAGTCACTCAAGCCCCAAGAGCCTTCCTCAAGTTTCCATCTTAATCCCCTGTTTCATGACTGCACAGACTCTGGGAAGACAAATAGTCAGGTTTGGAGCGTGGCTTATTAATAATGATCTATATAATTACTGACTAAAGCAGCATCATTTTTATGAAACATTTTAAGAACACCTGGGTTTCTTTCCCTCTAACCTCATTGCTTGTCACATTAGAAGCTATTTTCTGCACATTGCAGGAAGACAAGGTGATGATATTGAGTGTCAGCACTGACTTCATGTAGGCATCTCTTTTTTTTTTTGGCAGTCGTGGGGCTTGAACTCTAGGCCTGGGCACTGTCCCTCAGCTCTTCAGCTCAAGGCGAGTGCTCTACCACTCGAGCTACCGGTTTTCTAGTGGTTAATTGGAGATAGGAGTCTCACGGTCTTTCCTGCCTGGGCTGGCTTTGAACCATGATCCTCAGATCTCAGCCTCCTGAGTAGCTAGGATTACAGGCATGAGCCACCGGCACCCAGCTTGGCATTTCTTAATTAAAGTGTTCTCTAAAGAACCTGCCAGAGGGGGGAGGCTGGGAAGTGATGTGAAGTGTAAACAAAGGAGGAGGCTGCAATGCTTGGTAAGAAATGTACGCATTATCCTGCCCATGCAATTGTAACCCCTCTGTACAGTATTTTCACAAATATAAAAAAAAAAAAGAACCTGCCAGAGGGCTGGGAAGGTGGCTCAGTGGTAGAGCGCTTGCCTTGCATGCCTGAGGCCCTGGGTTCAATTCCTCAGCACCACATAAGCAAAAAGAAAAAACCGGAAGTGGTGCTGTGGCTCAAGTGGTAGAGCACTCGCCTTGAGCTGAAGAGCTGAGGGACAGCGCCCAGGCCCAGAGTTCAAGCCCCACGACCAACAAAAAAAAAAAAAAGAAAGAAAAACAGAGCTAGAACCATAGTTCAAATAATAGGCCCTAAGTTCAAACCCCAGGACCACCAAAACCAAAAGTGATGTTTGTTCACTTGACTTCCATGTGGGAGAGCTAGAGCTCCTTGAATATGTCCTAGTAAGGAAAGTTCTGGACTGAGTCAGAGACCTGGCTCCTAATCCCGGCAGTGTGACACCAGGCAGTCTAGGTCTGGCTCCTCCTGGGAGTTGACTCCCGTGTTGTGGGGTGGGGACTCCTGACTGGGTGAAGAGCATATGCCTTGCTTCTCCTGGACCCTGCAGCTCTTTCTGCCCCACTCCCCAGCCTGCCACCCATCTGTAAACCCCCAGCCTCCCAGTGTCTGTCTAGCCCCTGCTTTACTTGGTAGACACATCTAGATTTTTTGCTCTAACCAAATCGTCCTATCCAAGAGAAATCAAAAACGCCAAGGAGTGGCTACTGATGGCCATCTGGTGCCCTGAAAGGCTGGGCCATGAGGACTCAATCTCAGATAACGTATTTTAGACACCTACCACATGCCAAGTCTTGCATTGCACTACTTGGCAGAGGCTGGCTGTGCCACTAGTTGTAAAGTAGCTTGATTTGCAACCAAAGACTAGGTCCCACAAGGAAGAAGTTGTTACCCACTGGTTTAGAGCAAAGAGAATCATTAGTTGGCTTTTCACCTCTGTTTCTAGGTTCTGGCAGCCATCTTGTCCCTAATCCATCTGCCCAGAGGCTGTGTGCGGGCATGTTTGTGTCATCTGCCCAGAGCCGTGTGTGCATTCGTGTGTGTCTGGGGTCGTGGGTGGAAGAGGTGCGGGTTTTCCCTTGCTGTCTTTCCCGCTGGGCAGCTGTGTTCAGAAAGCCAGATGTTGGTTATAAATAGGCCCCAGCAGAGAAGGACAGGCTGGCCTCTATGTTTTGTGGTGGTCCAGCTTGTTTCTTAGTAACAAACTTGTATTAAACACATCGGACAGCAAGGCGTGTGGAATGGTAAGCAGAGAGCATCATTCCTGCTCTCAGAGAATCAGCAAGGCATGCCCAGAGGCTTCCTGTACTCAGAATGGCCTTTCAAATATGTTCATATGCAAGTCAGTGTGTCAAACCAGATGCCGCAAAACGTAAAGAAAGCTATGGCATTTCTTGTGGCCTGTGGGTAAATTATATAAACAGGAAAACATCCAATATACCCCACTTGAGTAAACGCATTCCTAAAGCTCAGTTTTATCAATCCTGCTGTGGTGTTATTGTGAAGTTAATTAAAAACAGTGTTTTATCAGTAGGTGGTGATGTCATAAATTAAAGATTGAGAGATGTCTGCTGTGCACAATTGACTGTACATTGAAAAGAGAAAGTCCCAGTGATCCTGAGACAGCTGTTTCTTAACATGGGGGTGCACATGCACACATGCTCACACATACATGCACACGTGCTCACACAGGGAACAGATGGACTGCTTGCTGAGGAAGGGCGGTGAGCTCATCTCCTAGGACAGAGTGGATCCGATCTTAACCTTCTATGGTGACATTACACACACCTCTGAGGGGTTTATTCCTTCTCGCTGTGAGAAGGGGGTTGAATGGGCTGGAAAAAGGAAGTAGCCAGATACAAGTCACCTAATAGCCAAATTCATGTTACTGTGGTACATCCCATTTTCACAATTATGTATGTATGTGTATCTCTGTTGGTTTTTTTGAGCTATGTTTTATTGGCATGCATCACATTTTTGTTATGTTAAGACAAGGTCTCAAACACCAAAGCTGGCCTCAAACTCTGCATTCTCCGGTCTCCACCTTCACAATGCTGGGCTCCCAAGTGTGTGCCCCGTGCCTGGCTTCCGTTTTGTTACTGTCATCATCCAGGCAGCTCTTATAAACACCTACGTCTGCTTTCCGAAGGCCGTGGCTGTGCTTTGGTGCTGACAGTTGCACCTGTTGTGGTGCGCTCGCTGGCACTGGCCTCTCCATCTTAAAACTAGTCCTTCCTCTCGTACTCCCCCCCTCCGCCCAGGAAGCTTGTCTGGGCACTGGCTTATTGCGGCAGCATCCCCCCTCTTAGGTTTGGGTAGATTTAGTCAAGTGCATGCAGACAAAAAGAATGAATGAAAGAGCTCCTGGATGATCCAGACCCGAGGGAAATGTCAGGCCTCCCTGGCAAGTAGGCTAAGGTGAATTGCTAACAAACACTACTGTGACAGATTCAGGGAGAAGCGCTTGGTGCCGTGGCTATGTATGTAGGACGTGTCCTGGCCAACCACCAAGCTTGACCAAAAGCCATGGGAGAGGAACGCATGCAGTCAGCGCGCGTGGGGTGGTCTTGCACTGCGGCTGTGAACCATCACCACTTCCTCCTCATGACTTGGAGCACCCCCTTTCCCCATCACTGACCAGGTTGTGATCTGAGCATTTTCTTCCAACGCTTGGGGGTGAGGGGTCATGTGATGATAGCACAGGCCAGTGGAAAAAGGGAGGGAGGCTGTCTAGGCTTCATCCTCCATTAACCATCAGTATGCTGCTCTGCCCTTCTAGCACATTCTCTAGGGCATACAGTGGCACTCCCCTACCCTCCACCCCAAGATACTGGAAGGCGTTTGGCAGAGTCTGCAGCCCTTCTGGGTGTAGCTGAGCGCAGCAGTTTTGGCTAATGGGGTAAACACTGCAGCTGTGGCCTCTCATTAACGAACGAGAAAGAAGTGAGAATTTACTGCATGTAGATGCTCGGTAGCTATTTTATATACATTTGCTCGTTTGATGTTAATGAGGCCAGCTCTGTCACGTTCAAATGTGTTCAAAATATATTGCTTGCTGTTTCATCATGGAGATCACCTGGGTTGAGTTATTTGCCACCCCAACTTTGAAATCCTGTCTGGATGAGCGTGTCAGCTCCCCTCCTGAAGGAGGGGAGAAAGCGTGGCCTGGATGTAAGACAGACAGTACATCACATTCGTGTTAATTCCAATGTACAGAGGGTTTCAGGAGCATGAGGACACTGACCTTTTCTCCCCTTCCTTCTCAGATACATCCCGCCATTGATCTGGGGGAAGAGTGGACACATCCAGACAGCCTTGTATGGGAAGATGGGAAGGGTGAGGTCGCCACACCCGTATGGACACCGGAAGTTCATCACCATGTCTGATGGAGCCACGTCTACATTCGACCTCTTTGAGCCCTTGGCTGAGCACTGTATTGGAGGTGAGTTGGTTCAGGGAGAGGCACGAGGCTGTCACTCAAAGAGCAGGAGTTGGGGGAAGGATGGCGGAAATGCCACCCCCCCATCGTGTGGCATCCAGGACATCATCCGGTGACGTCAGGGATGTGTCATGACATCCGGAAGTCTGCCGAGATTAGATCCAAGTCTGCAAGGATTAGCTCCAGCGTAGGCCTGCCGGTCCATGGAGAGAACCCCACACAGAGATCTCCGGGAAGCTGTGGAGAATGGTTTTACAATGCACTTGGGAAATCCAGAGCCCTAGTTTAAAGGGAACAGGTTGAGCATGGAGCCCAGGTCTGTCAGTGTGAGGAACGGAGGCTGGACCATTCTGGACTGTTCTAGGTGTTTCCTATGTGCTGTTGCCTTAGACTCCGAGAGCCCACGTCACTGCTGGGAAACTGGAGTTTGGAGAAGTAGCTGAGTGGAGCACACAAAGGCCTGGGTGCCCTGTGTGGACGCTTCCTTGGACAGAGACACACATTAAGGCCATGTTCACTACACACGGGCCAGGGACACCCGTTGCGGAGAAACAACTCAGTTTCCAGGGGCAATTCCATTCTTGCTAGGATTCGGCATTGCTCCGTGTAATCCACACACATCATAAAATGCTTCGTAACGAGGACATTAAGGAAGTGGGGTTAGATGCTCATCCTGTTGAATGTAGTTCCTAGGAGAAGAGAATGTCTTTTGCCTATTCAAAGGCAGCTAGTGTGTTTTAGGAATGTGGTTATCATTTGTATCATTTGCATAAAATTCAGCAAATATATTCTCAGTCACTTGAAGTAAGGAACGACTAAGTAGCTGCTAAGGTCCCTCTTAGCTCACCCTGCCCCATACCTTCACGTGCCGTCTCTCCTCCACATCGGGTCTCAGCTCCGGGGAGGTCGCCTAGAAGTAGGGGCTCACAGGAACCAGTCACAAAGGAATGAATAAATAGCTGTTCACACTGTATTGATAAATCTAGTAGCTGGTTTTTCAAATATTTATTTCTCTAGCATATTCAAATATTTATTTCTCTAGCATACTCAGTTAAATGTTTTGTTTTGTTTTTCCTCTTCTTTCTCATGCTTTGACTTCTTTTCCCATGAAAGCAGGTTTTGTGTGGCCAGTATGCTCCTCCTAGTGGGGAAAAAATACTTCTCCCTTGTAGTGACGTCTTTCCATCACCCCTGTACCAAAAAAAGAAAAGGTTGATGCAGATAGTTTCAGAGGAGACAGTATCCATACCCAACAAATGTTCTAAGAAAACCACCTTTTTCTTCCACTTATGATGACTACCAAAGGATATTTTAGAAAATAGGGATAATACAGAATGCGTAAAAAGAAAATGAGTCCCCCTTCATCCCACCGCCCAGCTTGCCATGTTGATATCTTAGCTGACCTAGTCCATGGACCCCTCAGGACCTCTGTCTCCCCCTGCAGATGACGTCACCATGGTCATCTGCCCTGGAATCGCCAATCACAGCGAGAAGCAGTACATCCGCACCTTCGTGGACTATGCCCAGAAAAACGGCTATCGGTGCGCAGTGCTCAACCACCTGGGTGCCCTCCCCAACATCGAGCTGACCTCGCCACGCATGTTCACCTACGGTAAGCAGAGAGGCCCCTCAGAGGTACCCTGCCCACCCCTGCCATGCCCTGTGGTCTTAAGTGTAGAATTCTTGGCGATGTTCTGGAGACAGAGGGGAAGGGCTTCTCAAGGCCTCCTGCTGGTAAGCGCCAGAGCAGGTCTGGGGGGATGGGGGGCCGGCAGCTGAGCCTTGCCCTTCACCCTCATCGTCTGTGATTGGCAGGGAGAGTACAGTGAGGCATATGCACGTCAGCGTAGAACCAAGTGCATCTCCACGTTCCTCAAGGTCAGGAGCTGGCTCTCATGGTCTGGCAGAGGCTTTCGGAAGTCCTATGTGAGCTAATGCTCAGGACTCCTCCATCCTGGTTCCTGTGAGTCCTCCCCACACCCACGAATAATAAATGTGAAATTAGGCATTAGGCATAAACATTAGGGATGTTTGTGACCGGATCAGTTGTAGTGTGTTTTAGTGGTAAACAACTGAACATCATACCTTCCGTCCTGTCTTCATCTACATGTACGTGTCGGTCACAGTGGGTACATCTATGGTGACTTGTGTAAGTCACCTTATCGTCAGCAGCATGAAGCTGCAGGGTCACTGTATTTTATCACTTAAGAGCCACATTGGCTGGGCGCTGGTGACTCACGCCTGTATTCCTAGCTACTAGGAGGCTAAGATCTGAGGATTGCGGTTCAAAGCCAACCCGGGCAGGAAAGTCCGTGAGACTCTTGTCTCCAATAAACCACCAGAAAACCAGAAGTGGTGCTGTGAGCTGAAGAGGGCAGGGACAGCGCCCAAGCCCAGAGTTCAAGCCCCACAACCGACCAAAAAAAAAAAAAAGCTACATTGCTATTATTGTTCTTGTGGTTGATCTAACTGGTCCTCTTTGTAGGGTGTGTAGGGCTATTTAACATTTTTCTACATTTTAAGAACGATGTTACAAATACCATGTACCTAGAATTTTTCTTTAACAAAGTTCTCTGGAGTAAGCGTCCAGTAGAATTAGAGTTGCCGTTTTTCAGGTGTGTTTGCACATATTGTCAGACTGTCCTCCTGCAGTCCTTCAGACATGCTACCATTGGTGAGGCGCAGGGTACTGTCCCGCCCTGAGAAGACCCGAGCGCCAGCCACTGGCCTGGAAAGTCCCCAAGTGCCTCTCACCTCAGACATGCCCAGTTCTGCTTGGAAATGCCCTCTGTGGCCTTCCGTGGGCTTCTCCCTGCCATTTGGGTCTCATCCTTTCAAAGAGCCCTTCGTAGCCCCGCCCAGTCCTTCTACCCTGTGCTTCTTAGGGTCCTCCTGCAAGGCACTTGATGTGAAGTTACAGATGGCTTTTATTTGGGTGCCTGTTTACTGGCTGCCTGTCCATCCCAGAAATCCACTCCATGAGAGCAGGGGGCCTCCTGCTTCCTCCTGCAGCTGCCTGTGCCCATAGAACGGGCCCTCTCCTTCTCTGTCAGGGACTGCAGTGTGCTGACAGGCTGAGGCCCTAGGTGGTAGACGTGAAGTGGGTTTGTGGACAGACGGTGACACTTCACAAGCAAATGTTTGTCAAGCAGGTGTGCCTGACGGTTAGTGAGAACTCCCTGTGCAAACAGCGGCCGCCCCTTTGGGCAGAGGCTAGGCTTTCAGTCCATGCAAACAGCCTTCAGCTTTTGGAAACAGTGGCCTTGCCCAGAAGAAACCGGAAGTGAGTGTTGGAGTGGAACCCTATGTTCTTCTTGTTCTGGGTGGGGCCCCTCGCTCGCTCTCTCTGAGACAGCTAGGAAAGATCTTTCCCCACTTGTCATGCTGGAACTCTGTTCCAGGCCACAGATCCTGTGCCCCTGGCCAGCTTTGCTGATATGATTAGACATGTTTGACCACAGCTCTGTCTTGGCCGGAATTTCCTAAACAAGTCCTTGAGCGTTGGTGGAATCATGGGACTTTCCATCGGCCTCACTAGTGAGGGCCAGACTGCCATGTTGTGTTTTGCTCACTGCCTCGGAGGTGGGTGTTCATTAGTGTCCCACCTCCCAGGCCAAGGGGGGTAATTAATTCCCTTGCCTTGTGCCTGTGACTGGTAGGTAGCATTTAAATGGCATGACTCTTACCCCAGCTCCAGTTCTCCTCTGCTTGCTTTCCTATTTAGAATTCTGTCCATTGGGCTATACAGAGACGGGGGCACCTGAGCATTTAAAAGACTTTCCTCTGCTTTGGCATGACTGTTTGTATTGGTAGAGGTCGCTGACATGCCAGCTGCCGGTGGCCGCCCCGCACCATCCTGAACATCCATGCTGTGTGGAGTCAGCGCTCCTGACTCTCGGATGAGGCCCAGCAAGGCAGGATAGAATATCCCAAAGCCAAGGACAGCTGAACCCAGGTTTCAAACCAAGCGTTCTAGCTGTCCTGATTGGCAGTCTCTGGAGTGAAAAATACAGGTGTGCGTTAAAGCCCCCGCCTTCAGGAGCCCCCACCCCAGTCACCCTCTGATTGAGCGGGGGAGGGGTGCACAACCACGGGCCCAGAGCAGGATGGAGGAGAGGCAGCCGTGGCTTCTGCGCCTCCTCGACGAGGTTCCGGTGTGAATGCTGCCGCCCTACCAGGGCACATTTAGGCCTTTAGTTAATGGGGGAGACAAAGCTAGGCCTCATTTTGTGTCAGAGCTAAACAAGCTAATGTGCAGGGTCAAGAGGGGCTGCCCCTTGATTCCTCCTGACATTTTCTTTTTTTTTGTCGGTCATGGGGCTTGAACTCTGGGCCTGGGCGCTGTCCCTCAGCTCTTCAGCTCAAGGCGAGCGCTCTACCACTTGAGCTACAGCACCACTTCTGGTTTTCTGGTGGTTTATTGGAGATAGGAGTCTCATGGTCTCTCCTGCCCGGGCTGGCTTTGAACCGCGATCCTCAGATCTCAGCCTCCTGAGTAGCTAGGATTACAGGCATGAGCCACCAGCGCCCGGCCCTCCTGACATTTTCATCCTGCGAGACCCGCCTTAGCGTAGCTCCCCTGGGCTTCAGGAAATGATCCCAGGGAGAACGCTGGGCTGCCAAGGCCCCAGCCACCCACCGGCCCCTGAGCGTGTCAGAGGGACAGGTCGGCCAGTGGGTGGTTCCACCCGCCCTGGTCACGCAGGCACCGACTCAAGTTTCCGTCTCACCCACATGACGTCGTGGGCACCTCCCAGGGCCCCGCCCATGCCTGGCATGGGGAACACAGATGACTCAGGCGCCACGCGCGCGCGCGCCACACACCGCGTCTCTGGCTTCCCTGTGTCTTAGCTGCTTAGTCACGTTAGTGGCATTTAGAGAAAGGGCTTTTTAAATAGTAGCAGTCAGAAAGCCTTTGCCTCGTCTTTCTTTGGGGGCTTGAAGAAAAAGCCAAGAATGTTTCCTGTTCTCAGCAGGTCACCTTCCCAAACAGCCCTGTCATGCCGTCTAGTAGCCAGGCCAGACTCTCCCAAACACGACAGCAAGATTAGATGTCTAATCTTGTTACCAGTGCTAATCCCAGAAGGATTAAACACGTAGATCCTCATTAACGACTTCCTGTATTAAGACCAGACTACTGCCTAGCTCCCAGACACTTGAGAGAGGTTGCAGCTAATATCAGGTGGAGATCCCAGGCAGGCTCTGAACCCTCCAGAAGGCGGATCCTAGACACACTGTGGTCTTTGCCCTTCCCTGGCCTGGGACAGGTGACAGCTGTCCCACACCTCCCACCCAGTAGTGGTACTGGAGTTTGAACTCAGGGCCTTTTACTCGCTAAACAAGTGTTCTACCACTTGAGACAAGCTTCAGCTTGTTGGTTGTTTTTTTTAAGACAGAGTCTCACTACATAGGCCAAGCTGGCCTTGAATTCATAATCCTCCCACCTCAGCCTCCTAAGTGCTGGGATTATAGGCATGTACCCCCCCCCCCAGCTCAGGAATGATAGCTCTTTGCAGAATACCCAACAGCTTGTCCAGCATCAGGCAGGACCTTTTTGCCAAATGAGACATGTTCAGTTTCATAAGCGGAGCCTCCCTACCCCCTCCCAGGAGCCATTAGCAGTAATTGCTCCTTGAGGTATAGTAAATTCAAGGGTTTTTATTGTTGTTGTGGTCAGTCGTGGAGCTTGAACTATGGGCCTAGACGCCTGTCCCTCAGCTCTTCAGCTCAAGGCAAGCGCTCTACCACTTGAGCCACAATGTCACTTCCAGTTTTCTGAGTGGTTTATTGGAGATAAGAGTCTCAGGGACTTTTCCTGACCCGGCTGGCTTTGAACCTTGATCCTCATATCTCAGTCTCCTGAGTAGCTAGGATTACAGGCGTCAGCAGTAAGTTCAAAGTTTGCCACTGCCCCACTGGCACCCAACACCTGCTGGAAGTCTCAAATAATTAGCCTCAGACAGATGGATGGCAAAGGAATCAGAGGAGAGAGTGAGACGACGCAATTAAACAGTAAGCTGAGCAGAACTGTCACTTGTGTGAACTTGTGATATAAGCCAGGTCAAGCATGAGTCCAGATCGGGTGCTCTGTTCCTGGGGTGTGTGTGTGAGCTGAACAGAGGTCTGGCATGCTGCGCCCCTCCTTTCCTTCAACCCACCATTCAGGTCACACCACCCAAGCGTCCCCCGGCTCTGGCCTCACCGATGCAGAGACAATGGAATCTAGAACCTCTTTATGGAATGTGTAATTTAAAAGAAGCAAAAAAACAAAACAAAAAACCAACATTCAAACAAGTCCACAGTCAGTGTATAGTGAGTGACAGTCTCACCTAATAGGGATGAAAATCTGGCTTTGCACATTCCAGAGTTCAAGGCAAAGGCTTCCTCTAGTCCATTGGCTTGTTACCAGAATCCCCTAGAATCAAGTCTTTATCGAAGGCTGTAAACTTTCCCAGGAGGGAGAAGCAGGCGGCCTGCGATCTAGTCAGGAGACAAGAACTTGATGGAAACATGTACAAAGTCACCGTGCATTTTCCCATGTGTCTATGTTGTGTGTCATTCCAAAGGCAGACGCAGGCAGCCTCTGTGTGTCAGTCATCAGGCATGCCGCAGAGGGCTACAGCAAGGGATGAACCAATGCACTTGACATCCCTGGCAGCAAAAGGAAGAGTATGAGAGACGTATCGTGTTATTTGACTTCTGTACGATGACATCAGTCACTCGGAAGAAATAACGCAGGTCCCTGGGCCATCAGCTTCTTGGGTGGGGCACAGGGACACCCATTCCTAAAGCCCTGTGTAAGTGATTCTATGCACACGGGGCCATGTGGGAGTGGCCAGTGGTGCTGCTAGCCGGGCCTCAGCTGTGTCCCGCTGCACTGCCCCAGGCCCTAAAGGTAGTGTCTGTGATTTGCTGGTTAGCAAAGGGGCTGTTCACAGCGTCACCACCCCTCTGTGCTGATGCCAGGTCAGCAGCTCCCATTTCCATGGTAGACTCATCCTCTCCTGGGCTGGCCTCTTGCCACGCCCCCGTGGGGTGTGCTGAATCCCTCCACCTGGGGATGGCCACTGCTCTCTCCTCAGAGCAGAGCTGTAGAGGCGGAGCTGGCGTGGCCCCACCAGCCTCCCAGCGGACCCAGCTGAGATCACCTCTTCTGGGGAGCCGGGCCCCAGCAACCACGCCACTCAGAGCCCCGCCCCCCGAGTATTTCTGAATGAGCCTGTCTCCCTCGGCACCCCAGCCCCACATCCCCAAGATCATTTTTACCTGTCCTTCTGAGCATCCCGGCCATCCCTCTGGCTTGGAGCTCTTCTCTCCTGCCCTCCCGAAGCACTGACAAGAAGACCCCACAGCTGACGTCCTCTCCAGAGCTCTCTGGATACTGGGGTCATTCTGCACATGGGGGTGGCCTCCCAGTTTGTAGTCCAAGGAGCCAGGGCCAAAGGGTTTGCCCTTGCTGTTATACATCTGCATGTGAACACGGACGCTTGTGCAAACCCAGAGTGTGGGGTCGGATGCCCACGAGTGTTGACCCATGTTCAATCTGCTCCATACACGGTACTTCCTCTCAGGGGTACTGCCCGCCCCTGGTTCCCTGGGGTCTGGGGCACCTGGAAACCTCTCCAAATAGGCAGAGATCAGCGTGTGGCCCCACTCCAGCTTGCCATCCCCCGGTATGACTGGGTGGCTCACCTCTGCCCGCAGGCTGCACATGGGAGTTCGGCGCCATGGTGAACTACATCAGGAAGACGTATCCTCTCACCCAGCTCGTCGTCGTGGGCTTCAGCCTGGGGGGGAACATCGTGTGCAAATACTTGGGGGAGACCCAGGCGAACCAAGAGAAGGTTCTGTGCTGCGTCAGCGTATGCCAGGGCTACAGCGCGCTGAGGTGAGTCTCGCCACCCACACCCACCTCCCCCTGCCCGCTCTTCACTGAGCATGTGCCTTCTGAGATACCCTGAGACCTGGGGCTGGAGGCGGGGTGCAGGGGAACAGCATGACAGGTCAGGCAGAAGTTTCTGAGTTCTAGACTCACCTGGGTTGTGTCCAGATCATTGACTGGAACTGTCCTCTCAGACCATTAAGCCTGGGCACGGGGCTGTGTTGTAGGATCGGATCTGTGGTTGGATCAGCCTGGTGGGCAGCACCGGGGGCTGATGGGAGAACACAGGAAGTGACAGCCAGCCGGGCCCTTCCTCCATCCCCAGTGGAGTCTCAGATGCCGTCAGGAAAGGGTGTTGTGAAGCCGTCAGCTCCGAGGATTCATCTCAGTCATCCCAGCCCTCTTCACAGAGGGCCTGAGCCATAGGGAAGGCTTCCCCCTCATCTCGGGCCAGCAGAGCAGGACACCCCCCCCTCCCAGCAGGGGACCCAGGTCCCTGCCTTCCCTCAGGGTCTCTGCAGTTGCCAGGCTCATGTCCGTCCAGACTCTTCAAATGCACTCGTGTTTTTCCTTCTTGAAAATGTCTCTCATGCTACAAATGGGTGCAACCAGTTATTTCCAATTGGAAAGGCAGTCTGTAACACTTCTAAAGGCACATACTACTTCAGCATGAAGCCAAAACGAAAAAAATAGCAAGACTCCCATCTTGACCAGTGGCTGAACACAGTGACACCTACTACCCCGCCAACAAAGTGGCTTCTCTCTTCCATGCCATACTGTCGCAATAGCGCCATCTGCTGTTGGCTGGGGCACGTTGTACAGTGCAGTTAAGCTCAGGTCCCTGCAGCCATGGAGGGATCTCCGCTGGGGTCCCCTCCACCAGACGGGCTGAGTGAACAAAGGACATTTCCTTCCTTTAGGCCAGTGTAGCTTTTCCCTCCTGCCCTTGACTTGAGGCCAGTGAGCGCCTTGGGCTCTGGGCTGCGTCCTCTTCTCCCAGGTGAAGAGGGGCGGTTCTTCGGCAGGGTCCACCTGGGAGTCCTGCTTGTTGCGACCTGCCACCAGTTGTCTGAGACCTTCCTGCTCCACGGCCCCCTCCTTATGGCATCTCAGACCTCCTCTCCCGCTTAGCTGGAGTTAATCGAGGGCTCAGAGAGCACCCACTTGCTATCGTTCACAAAGTGTAGCCATTGCTAGGCCAGCTCACCTTTGTACTATGTGCCGAATTCTGAAGGGGTGCTGCCCATGCCCCCCAAATTACATGGTGTCTCCCAGATGCCACTGAAGCAGCTGCCAACCAGCCCTGGAGTCTGTGTGCTCAGGTGGAGCTAGCTGGTAAAGATACTTCAGGACAAGAGGTGGAGGGAGAGGGGGGGAGGAGGAAGATGAGTTCCTTCATCTTCAATCCTAGGACCCAGTCCCAAAGGGCAGAAGAGTGCCCTGTCCGCACAAGGCTGAGCGAAGGGGAGCGGACTGGATGCAGCTAAAATCAATTCACCCAGAAGTCCTCAAAAAGTCCCCATTGCAGAAACAGTTACCTAACTAAAATAAAAGCATGTGATCCACAGATGAAATAGAGGTGGAGATGGAGAGGATCAAGGGTTGAGGCCAGCCTGGGCAAAAAAGCTAGCAATATGGGCCACCAGAGCCCCTCCTAGCCGGCGCCCCGTGCCCCCCCCCACGCCGCCCCTTACTCCCATTGTGCTCTTCCAGGGCCCAGGAGACCTTCATGCAGTGGGACCAGTGCCGGCGCTTCTACAACTTCCTCATGGCCGACAACATGAAGAAGATCATCCTCTCACACAGGTACCACGCCCCCCCGCCCCTCCAGCTCACCCAGAACCCAGAACACCATTCCCCCGGAGGGGATGCCTGTAATCCCAGCACTCAGGAGACCAAGGCAGGAGGATCTCAATTCTGATGCTAGCCTCACCTGCAGAGCCAGTTCCAGACCAGCCTGGGCTATCGAGACCCTGCTTCAAGAGAAGTAAAAATAAAATAAAGATAGGGCTGGGAAGGTGGCTCAGTGGTAGGGCGCTTGCCTTGCATGCATGAAGCCCTGGGTTCGATTCCTCAGCACCACATAAGCAAAAAGAAAAAAGCCGGAAGTGGCTCTGTGGCTCAAGTGGTAGAGCGCTAGCCTTGAGCTGAAGAGCTGAGGGACAGCACCCAGGCCCAGAGTTCAGGCCCCACGACCGGACCCAGAAAGAAAGAAAGAGAGAAAGAAAGAAGGAAGGAAAGAAAGAAGAAAGAAAGAAAAGCAAGCAAGCAAGCAAGCAGACATGTCTGAGGGTGCAGCTTAAGTGGTAGTCCTGCCTGGTGTGCCCTGGTTCCCAGCCTCAGTTTCCAAAAATCCATCCTGATTCCCACTAAGCCCAGGACGGGAACCACGTCCGCTGTTCCCCACTAGAACGGCCGCCCTGAGGGGGCCTGACCTTGTCACCCTCGCCAAGCAGCCTGGTGCCAGGAGGCTCCGGGTCAGGCCTCCTTGCGTGTGTCTTGCCCGCTCTGCATCCCCTGCACTTGGCCCTTGCTGGCCCAACCCCCGGGTGCCTGGAGCGGTGCCCGGCAGCGATGATTGCGTTGTGATCGCCTCTCCCCGCTCCGGCTGCACTGGGCCTGCGGAACCTCCCTCCCTCCTTCCCTCCCTCCTTCCCCCTCTCAGGAGGCTCCTTTGAGACCCAGCTGCTCCTCCTCCACCTCGTTGCTTCTCCCGGCTGTGTGACTCTGAACCTGGGTCCTGAGCCACACTGGGAGAGCTCGGAGGAGCTGGGCACGGCCCCTGTGTACCCCATTTGCTTTTGTGTCTCATTCCAGACAAGCTCTTTTTGGAGACCACGTGAAGAAACCCCAGAGCCTGGAGGACACAGACTTGAGCCGGCTCTACACGGCCACGTCCCTGACGCAGATCGATGACAACGTGATGAGGTAGGTGGAGGGCCCCCTCCCTTGGAGGGGTTGAGGGGGGTCTTCAGCGGCCCCAGCCACTGCCCAGTCACCTCGAGGCTGGCTTATTGGCACATTAGAGCCACCATAGGGTTGGTTCATTAGCATTTCCAGGGTTCCACCCCCCAACTCGGCCACCTGTAGATGACATGTGTACAAGAACCAGACCCGACGGCTGCTCACGCACCCTCCTCCCAGACCCAAGGGTGATCACTGCAACATGATGACAGGTGGCTTTGCCTTGTTTTTTTCTTGGTGTGTTCCAGGAAGTTCCATGGCTACAACTCCCTGAAGGAGTACTATGAGGAGGAGAGCTGCATGAGGTACCTGCACAGGGTGAGTGACCAGCCCTGCTCCAGCCCGCGCGCACGCGCGCGCGTGTGTGTGTGTGTGTGTGTGTGTTGCTGGGAGTTGAACTCAGGGCCTCATGTTTGCTTTGCAGGCCCTCTACCACTTGAACCCACTTGGATTTTGTCTAGAGCCAAAGTTGCTCCCTGTGTGACCACCGTCCACTAATCCCAGAGCCTCCTGCTTATACACATGCTGCTCCTGGACTTAGAGGGAGCCTAGAAATCACTGCAGTGCCTGAGTTTTTCTTAAATTTCCTTTGATAGTGTAATATTGCCTGAGCTCTGTAGGGGGTTCATGTAGGTTTCCTGCCATCCTGGGCCTTTTGTTGGTGGTGGTGGTGATTGTATATCTTTTTTTTTTTCTCCCCAGGGCCTGGGCACTGTCCCTGAGCTTCTGTAGTTCAAGGCTAGCACTCTACCCCTTGAGCCACAGTACCACTTGTGGCGTTTTCTGTTTATGTGGTACTTAGGAATCAAACACAGGGCTTCATGCATGCTAGGCAAGCACTCTACCACTAAGCCACCTTCCCAGCCCCATTGTATATCTTCTAAACATTGTACATAAGACTAAACTCTGAGGGCTGGGAAGGTGGCTCAGTGGTAGAGCGCTTGCCTTGCATGCATGAGGCCCTGGGTTCGATTCCTCAGCACCACATAAGCAAAATGAAAAAAGCCGGAAGTGGCACTGTGGCTCAAGTGGTAGAGTGCTAGCCTTGAGCTGAAGAGCTGAGGGACAGCACCCAGGCCCAGAGTTCAGGCCCCACGACCGGACCCAAAAAAGAAAAAAAAAAAAGACTAAACTCTGAAACTTCAAATTTCTCTATGAAGATGACAGGCATGCAGACAGACAGACAGAGGGCTAGTAGTGAATTTGAGCGTTGATCGGTGAATGTGATACTGTAAAGGGGTATCTGTGTTTCATTCTGCTCTGTTTTCTCGCCGCAGATTTATGTGCCTCTCATGCTGGTGAATGCAGCGGATGACCCGTTGGTGCATGAGAGCCTTCTAACCATTCCCAAGTCTCTTTCAGGTACGTGTTCCTTGCCCCGGCCTCTCAGCAAATCGCCACAGTAAAACCTGTGCCTCTCTGGGGAGGGACAGCCGGGGGCATTGTTCTTACTCTGCCTTGTCTGCCAATCTTGGGGCTGAGGAGGGCCTGGGCAGAATGTTCCAGAATGTCCCTGTACAGGAGACAGAGGCATCCTTGAGTCTCCCACCAAAAGTGTCGGAGGAGTCCTGGTATTCTGCAGAAGTATTGCCCCTAAGTTCTAGTTCCATTAAGAAGGAGAGGATTGGGCCGAAGGAACTACTTGCACTTAAAAGTTTGTCCTGAGAAGCAAAATGAGAGGGCGGAGCAGAGGAGAGGGGAGAAGGGAAAGAGCAGAGCAGGGGAGGGAGGATTCCATGCCTCCTTTGCACTGGGATTCTCACCCCCAGGATGCTGTCCCCACCCTCCACAGCCCACGTCTGCAGTAGCATGCCCACAGACCACCTCAGTGAGCGCTGTGTGTGTTAAGTCCCGAGTCAAGTAGGCCATCCACTTGGGATAGACACTGAGCACGCAGCAGTCAGAGCCCAGGCATCCTTTGTCAAAACTTAGCCTTGAGCCAGGCCTGTCATCCAAGCTACTCAGGAGGCTGAGATCTGAGAATTGCAGTTCAAAGCCAGGCTGGGCAGGAAAGTCCATGAGGCTCATCTCCAATAAACCACTAGAAAACCAGAAGTGGCGCTGTAGCTCAAGCAGTAGAGCGCTTGCCTTGAGCTGAAGAGCTGAGGGACAGCGCCCAGGCCCAGAGTTCAAACCCCACGACACACACACACACACACACACAGACACACACACACACACACACACACACACACACCAAAAAACCTAGCCTTAAGCTAGTTCTCAGTCTTGGAGATTAATGCCTGGCTCAAAAGAAAATTGTTCCACCGAATTCTCCTTGTCTAGCATTTTAATAAGCTACGCCAGGTGTGCAAGGGCAGGAAGCACAGCCCATCCCCCGAGGCTCAGCCATGCCAGTGCCCAGGTCCTCTCCTGTGCCCCCACTCCTCCACCAGAGAGTCTGATCAAATCAGTCTGAAGACAGCCTGGACCCAGAGTCAGCCCAGTGGCTCATGTCTGTAATCCTAGCTACTCAGGAAGCAGAGATTGGGAGGGTTGAGGTTCAAGGTCAGCCTGGGCAAAAAGCTCACAAGACCCTATCTCAACAGAAAAGAAAACTGGGCACAGTGGTCCGCACCCGTCACCCAGCTACCTGGGAAACGAATAGGGGGATTGCAGTCCAGGCTGGCCCACGCATAAAAGCAAGACCCTATCTGAAAGAGCAAAAATAGGGTTTGGGCCAGGGCTCAAGCAGTAGAGCTCCTCTCTAGCAAGTGTGAGGACCTGAGTTCAAACCCAGTACCACAAAGGAAAAAAAAATTATCCCTTGGTAATTGAAATCTACAGCTAAGTTGGAGACTCACTCGGAGCTCTAAAGCTTCTTGAAGCCAGTGTCCATTCTGCCCCTAAACTGGTTGGTGCCCCAGCAGCCCCTTCCCACGGGGAGTCAGGAGAAGGCGGTAACTCGGCCCCTGTCCCTGCAGAGAAGCGGGAGAACGTCTTGTTTGTGCTGCCTCTGCACGGGGGCCACCTGGGCTTCTTCGAGGGGTCCGTGCTGTTCCCCGAGCCCCTGACGTGGATGGACAAGCTGGTGGTGGAGTACGCCGATGCCATTTGCCAGTGGGAACGGAACAAGTCCCAGTGCTCCGACACGGAGCAGGTGGAGGCCGAGCAGGAGTGAGCCGCTGGACCCCCGCGACTCCAGCCCTCCGGAAGCCGCGTCCTTCCCCGCTGTCTCGGACCTCACACTGTCAGCCGGCAGGGGGGAACCATCCACCCGCATACCTGGGTCAAGTAGGCGGCTCTCCCTGGGGCTGCAGGTTATTTTTGTGCTTAGTTACTGGCTTTCCCCATCCAGTCTGTTAGCCATGGGGACAAGCGACCTGACGCTCGCCTCCTGTCGAATCTCAGCGTCCGACCTCTTGTTAGCCAGTCACATCTAGTTTCCCTATTAAAAACGTGTCTGAACTGCAGTTTTGCTTTGCCTATCCGAAGGCTTTTCCCTGACCACGTGTCACCTTGTGACCACTGTGCGTGTCCTCGAGTAGACCCGGACAGACGCCCACCAAGCCAGGCCGGTGCCCAAGGCACAGCTAAGCTTGGGAGCCCAAGGACCTGGTCTCCAGGGCTCCGAGTTCTGTCTCTTACCTGGCAAAGGAAAGGGCCCCGGGGGTGGAGCTCAGGGGTGGGGCTTTGCCAAGCAGGCTCCAGGCCCTGGGTTCCATCCCCAGCACGGCAGATTGAAACCCATTCCCGCCCGTTGTTAGCCAGCTTTCTCCCTCACCTGCAAGCCGGTTTCTCAGTCCTGGCTTACTGCTGCAGAGGGTCGCACGGGGCACTTTTTACAAATTTGGCCTCCCAGGCCCCTCCCCTCGGAGAGGCTGATTGAGTGGGGGGGTGGGAGGAGTCTGGGGATTTTAATTTTTAACAAGTGCCCCAGGGGACTCTCATCACCAGGCAGAGATTGGGGACCGGATTCTCCAGCGCCTTCTCAATCAGGAGCCATTGGTGGCTCATTTTGTTGAACTCCTATAACCAAGTGTCTCTTTTCCACCCAGGACCCTAGCTGGTCTTGGATTACATGGTGACTTTCTCCCATAGCCCTGGGTGTGAGTGGACGTGTGGGCTGAACCCTGGCTCTACTACTTCTCAGTGATGAAACCGGGGGGCTTCACCAGGGTGACCACCAGTTCTGAAGTCACAGTGCTGACGCTCGCTCGGGCGAGCACCCCTCCAGTCCAGCCTGGGGCTAGCTCCCATCTAAGCATGTAGATGTCCTCATGTGTCTTTCTCTTTTCGCTCCTCCCCCCGTCCATGTAAAGAGATTTGCGGGGGAGGAGGAGCTTTAAAGCACTCAGTTGTAATTTTTAGGTTTTGAACCCAGGCCCCTCTACCTCTGGCTTTTTGATACCAAACAATTCAAAAGCCGGATCTGAGTTTGAAGACAGATTGTATCCGACCTACAAGGCGGGTGTTGATTGCAAGCAGCTTTCATGGACTGGCTCCTGGGTGGTGCCTGCCCAGGCACCTCTGTGACACCTTTGTCTCTTGAGGCGGACACGTCACTGTAGGATTCAAGAGCTCCTGCCTGCAGCCCTGCAGCTCCTGAGAAGCTAAGAGCCCAGTGCTGTGAAAGCCAGCAGCGGCTGCCTGGAACTGGACAGAACTGTGAGGGAAGTCAGCTGGACACCGTAACAAGATGCTCGTTGGGCTGGAGGACAGACTGGAATGTCGGGAGTGGGTCTGCGCGTGCGTCTCAGCAGTGACTGGAGCCACCGGAACGCATGGTCTTGGCCGCTGGCAGCTTGACCTCAGGCCCTGGCCTGGGCTGTGACTTCCATAACCTGAGTTGTTTTCTGACAATCACCAGGTCACCCTAAGTAACACGAGACACAGCCATTGGCTCAGAAGATTCCCTTTCTGGGCTCTCAACTCTGCCATGGTCTCCTTTTTCACGTTCACCAGATCCCTACATTTTGCTTTTCCCCCAGCTCATCATTTCTCCAATGCATTTTTTATGTTCTTTTTTAGCACAAAATAGCACTTTATTACCTACCCCTTCATTTGGAAGCCAGTTCTTCTCCTCTGACTCTTTCCTCTCTCCAACCACAGTTATACTCTAGAAGATTCAGACGTATTTCCTGCACTTGCTTTCATTCCTCCAGATTTTTTGTGAAAATAGGTGAACCAAGCAATAATTCAGTAGATTTGAATCCCGTTTCATCTGCCTGGGGCCCCATCGCCACCTACTGACAGGGAGCGGTCCAGCAGCGCCCCCTTCTGGAGAAGAGTCCCATTGCCCGCAGCGGTGATGGGGGTGCAGTGTCCTTGCCCCCCAGGGGTATGGACTTTGCCACTGCACAGCCGGAACCCCCGCCCCCAAGAAGGAGGACGCATCCCAGCTGGAATCTCAATGTGTGACTGAATGGCACTCACATTCCATTTTGGTTCACATGAAACGAACTGAGGCCCTTTCTTCATTCAGGCCCCAGACCCACAGGCCTGGGAACGAGCTGAGACTGAGGCTGTCTTTCAGCAGAGTCTCTTTGCCCAGGGCACAGAGCTCCCAGTGCAGGATGAGCCTGGAGCGCCACTTCCTCATGGCCACGTGACTGCTCTTCTTCCTATTGAGGTCCTGTCTGGCCTAAAACAAGACTGGATTTCTAGAGTGCTGGAACATTCTACTTTAAAATCAAAGGAACCATGTTAAAAGCCAAAGGGGAGATGGACCCACATTTCCCCAGTTGTCCCCCCACCCCCGCAATTTGGAGATGCTGATTCCAGTCACATCAGGACTGTCCGACTCAAAAACAACTGGCCTCTCTCCGAAGCAGTGATGTAAGAAGGGAGGTTTGCAGACTTGGGGAAGATCCATGGTCTTGGTGGGTCTGGGCAAATTTGTACCAACAGCCCTCACGCAGAGCAGAGATGGCAGGCTGCGGCTATTGTGATCCGTAAGCTCCGTTTGCTTTCCTGACGTGGTGTCCGGGAGGTGTGGCTGCTCCCCCGTGTCTCTAGTCACCTTAGTGATGACTGGTCCCTCCAACCCCTCCCAGCTCATCGCTAAGACAGCTCCATCCTCCGAGGCATCCTGTGCCCGGCCACGGCCCTGGCCTCCCCAGAGCGGCAGGTGGACGCAGCTGGGCCGCAGCCCCGGGCTCGCTCGTCTCCGGGGAGCCCTTGGAGAGGGAGTTGTGCATTCAGCCTTTCCTCATTAGAGCCCTGGACCCCGTCCAAGGCCCCATCTTTGGCTTCTTTTTCCAAGTCTGTCACCTCTGTGTCCTTGGGTGGTCTCGTGACCGTGGCAGGTGCTGGCCACTGGGATGAGAGACAGATGCCATCTTGCCGCGTCACCCGTCAGAAAGCGCTTCCTGCTCAGCCTTTCATTCCCAGACCATCTTGGCCGCGCTGAACTCTGGGTTGCCGAGCTTGTCCGAGGCCTGGCATCTGGATGAGAGCTGCCTTTGTGTCTGGGTGATCTGAGCTGGGTTTTGGACTTCCGGGGAAACCGCGGGGTGTGTGTTCTTGTGTGTGTCTGCCAGCGGCAGGTGTCGGAGATGTGAGCGCCCTTTCTGTTCCCATGGTCTCGATCTTGATGTAGCGCTAAGGACCCCTGACAGCCTGTGCTGCTGAAGGAAGCCCGCAGACGGGAGGGCTGGCAGGGAAAGCGTTCCATTGCAGCGTCCAGCCCAGCGTCGCCCAGAATTGTCATCCTTGCCATGAAGCCTTAACTTGCTTTGGAAGCCCCCCTGGCATTACAGCAACATCGTGAACAAGGCTCAAACCCACAGCCAGACCAGGACATCCTACAGCAGACAGGAAGGGTCCTTGTCACGTGACACCCCAACCTCCCAGGCCTCAACAATCCGAGCCTCAGCTCTGGCTCCTCCGTCATCTTGGCCTTACTTTTGTTCAAAGCCACGTTGCATTGCTCAGATGCTTCTAAAAGCCATGAAAACTGGCCTGGCCGTGGCATTTAAGGGTGAAGCGATTGCAGGCAAGTTATCTGTCCCCTAAGCGGAGGGAAGCACCCCCCCCTTAGAAGTTGGAATTGCTTTGGCCAAGTTGTACTTTTAGCTGAGAGAATGGGGAACTGCCCTCCCCCCGCCCCCCGCTGGCAGCAGGGGTCAGATACCATCCAGAGCGAGGGGGTCCTCGGCGGCCCCCCTGGGGTGGCTGCAGCCCCCCTCCCCCCACAATCGCAGCCCGGGGCAGTAAGACACAGCTCAACCCTACAGCCCTTCCCAGACACACACGCAGGGCAGCTGCCCCTTTGCAAGCTCAGGCTTTTCGTAGCATGCGTCTTCGGGTGTCCCTTGATGAGCAAGCTGAAGTTGGTTTCTTCGTGGAGGACCAAGTCTGCCATCCTGTGATTCGTGAGGTCTTCAGCTGTCAGCCCGACGCCTTGCAATCCGTCATGAAATCCATAACCCAGCTTCTCTCCCTTCCGGTCCCCACTGGCCCAGAAACCCACTGTTGCCATCATTGAGGACAGTCCACTGCTGGTCCCTGGCCTCGGGCAGTCGCCTCCCACGTAGGACCCCCTTGTTCCCTACGCCAGCCATCTTTTCCCCCTGGCTGTCCTGGGGCGGGGGTGGGGGTCAGGAGTTAGAGTGTGTCTGCTTGCCATGTTTCTTTGGGTCTTTCTTTTGCTAAAGCACAAATCCACCCCAGTTCCAGGCCGGCTGGGTCTGCCCCACCGCGAAGGGGCCGCCTGTGCCTCACCTTTCACCTGCCACTGGCTGCTGCAGCTGCCCCAGCGCCACCAAGGCCGAGGGACGGAGGGAGGGACGGCCGGAAGGGTTCGCATCGCTCCTTTTCCTCGTGAGACCCCATAGGCTGCGGATGTTAGAAGCATCGCTTTCACATTCCTGATTCTGGGTTGGGTTTGGTTTTGTCCTCTTGTGCTTTTCCGAAATCTCCGATGCTACCCTGAAAACAAACTGTGTTGTTGAGTTCTCGTTCCAAAAGTCCCTGTGCGGCTGGATCTTTGGGGCGGGGGTGTTGTGGAAGACAGGATCCTTCAGGGCGGAGGCATTTAAGATTTGCAACTAGCAATGCAATTTTTTCTAAACATGAGGATATTTACCTTTATTAAGAAATTGTACTAAACAGTCGTGTCCTTGGTCGGTTTACGTTCTCATGTTACTTTTGATTCTACTTTGATTCTGTGTGGTGGTAAAAAAAAAATCATTACAAACAAAAACTGTAATTTCTTATCTTTGATTCAATGGGATTTCTTTACTTAAAAAAATAAAGACTAAAAACATAACATGGTTGTGTCTAGTGTTTTTATGTTTTTTTCTGGTGGTAGTGGGGTTTGAAATGAGGGTTTTGCCGTTGCTAAGCTGCTACAACACTAATCCCTTTTTACCCTTGTTACTTTTTGGAATACTTGACCGTGTGTGTGTACTTCCCACAAAGCTGGAACAACAGGCTCACACCACTGGGCCCTGCTGGCCGTGAAAGAGGGTCCCACAGACGTTTTACCTTGCTGGCCCGGAACCGCCATCCTCCCAGTCTCTGCCTCCCAAGTAGCTGGGTTACAGGCATACACCACACCCAGCTTCAAAACACCATTTTAGCTTATAAGGTAATAAGAATGCCTGCCCTGGGCCATTGAGCCACAAAGTGCTCTCCAAGGTGCTGGTGTTATTTGGGGCAGTGGTTCTGGTTTGGCTCACTTGGTTCTCACTCAGCAATCACCTTCCGCCACAGAATAGAAAGCAGGTGTGTGTCCGGCCCATGGTGCTGCTCCCCGCTCCCCCCCGCCCCCTCCCGCCCGAGGTGCAGCTATGCACCAGAGCCTCTGTCTGCCGAGTCTGGAGGACAGCCTGGGTGTACAGGCCCATCCCTGGGCTCAGAAGTGCTGACGGGCGCTGTGGCCATCATGAAGATCATCAGGCTCTAACTACTTCGTTCTTGTGCTCACCCACACCTGTCCTGCCTGCTGGCAGGGCTACTTCTGCAAATAGTCCTGGGCCCCATTTGCTCATTTCTCTGGGACACGGAGCCTGTGGCGGCTGCCTTGTCACATGGACTTCTTGGAGACCGGGCCAGAGCAACCTAGCTGCCTTGAGCCCAACTTCAAAGTTTGCATTTGATACTCACTGGTATGGCCTTCTTTATTTTTGTTTTTGGTCAATGTGGGCCTTGACCTCGAGGCCTGAGCACTGTCCGTGTGCTCTTTTGCTCAAGGCTTTCACTCTACCACTTTGAACCACAGCACCACTTCTGGGTTTCTGGTGATTAAATAAGAGTCTCACAGACTTTCCTGCCCAGGCTGGCTTCGAACCATGATTCTCAGATCTCAGCCTCCTAAGTAGCTAGGATGACAGGCGTGAGCCACTGAAGCCTAACATGGTGTGGCCTCTTTAACTAACCTTCCCTCACATGTCCACACACAGGGCTTAAGCAATTACATCTGAGCTGCCTAGGGGACTGGAAAAAATACTGGTACCTGGCCACATGTCAGATCATGTACATTAGAATCTCTAAGGCAAGGCTGGGTGTGATGGTTCACATTGTAATCTCAGATTCTTGGGAGGTATAGATAGAAGCATCATCGCCCAAGCTAGCCCAAGTTAAAGGACAAGATCCTGTCTGTTCTAAAATTAACTAAAGTTAAAAATATATATATACACAGGAAGTGGAGCTGTGGCTCAAGTGGTAGAGCGTTAGCCTTGAGCCGAAGAGCTCAGGGACAGCATCCAGGCCCAGAGTTCAAGCCCCCATGACCGATAAAAAGAAAAAAGCTCTAGGACAGTGCCTAGACCCTGAGTTCAAGTCCAAGGACCAGCACACAAAAACAAAAAAAAAAAAGGGCACACACAGGCCTGTGGGGCTGAGCAAGTCAGGTTTTACCATCTGCACAGCCTGTCCCCAGCAGGGCAATGCCAGGATACGGCCAGCAGGGGGCAGTAGGAGTCCACAGAACAGGCTGGCATGTACATCAAATCGCACCTGACCCAGGAGGACTGGCCATCCCACAGTGAAAATCACTCACCTGCCTATGAGCACCAAGATCACTGTGTTTACCAAATCATGTCCACGTAAACCCTTTCGCTAGTTGCTTTTTATTGGAAGCAGGTGAGGGTGCTTTTCATTCCCTCTTGGCCTGCTTTCACAGACCGGGAGACGTTCCAGAGGGAATTACCAGCAAGCCTTGTTACGGCCTTGAAACCCAGCCGCACACAAGGTAGTGTGTCCTGCAGTTCTGTTCAAGAGGCATCCCTGCCGCGTTGCCACTCCCACCCTCAAAGGTGACCCCCAGCTCCCCTAAGGCTTAGGTTTGAGGTCCCCCAGCCTGGAGTCCAGGACAGCCAGCCAGCGGGGCAGGGCCAGGATGCTAACGAGGGCTCCCATGCAGGCCAGATGCAGGCTCACAAGGCTGTGTTCTCAGCTTGGACCCGGGGGCCAAAGAGCTGCTCGGCAACCACCTTGCCGTCATACTTGGGCAGTGTACCCCCAAAGTCAGCGGGCAGGATGGTCTCAGCAATCTCCTGGAAGAAGCCCGAGAGGTCATCTCCATGGACAAAGACCTGCAGGGAAGCAAGGAGGACCAGTGAGCAGGAGGCGCCCTGAGGCTGGGGGCGGAGCCGTGGAGGGGAGAGGAGGGACAGGAGCGCTCCACTTCGTTCCCCACACCCATGCTCCAGCTCACTGCGCACGTGCCCTGGGCAGGCTCACACTCACCCTCTGCAGCAGCTTGCTCTTCAAGAAGGGCCTAACCATGTTGTAGGTGGTAGTGAAATACCACGGCTGGTGGATGAAGTGGATGGCTTTGAACCGGGCGGGGAAGGAATCCTGCAGAGACGGAGAGAGATCCCCTGTGACCCAGGCCTCCCCCACTGTGAGAGAGGACGACCGTGGGACAGGTTCCAAACCTCACCTGCAGCATGTCCACCATCTTCCTGAGATCCGAGGCCCGCAGCCCCGCAGCCTGCTGCATGGTAAAGCCCTTGAAGTTCTCGACGATGCAGAAGCCATTGATTTGTGTTTCCTCATTCTCCAGCAGCTTCTCCAGGATGAAGCAATACGCCTGCAAGATCTGGGGCAGAAGAGGGGGCGTCAGACCCAACCTTCCAAGATAATTAAGGCTCAGGTCCCAGGGGACAGTTAATTGCACGTCCCTTGGCTAGAGGAATTTGCCACAGGCTTCCATGTCGGATGGTCCCCTTCTGTGAATGTACACAGGACGACAACCCTGGAGGATTCCATCTGTGGTTAGGGCGTTTATCCCATGCTCTTACAATGAGGGCACTGCTGGAAAGGACCAAAGTGTGCCACAAAGGACTGGCAAGGTTGTGGTAGACTGAAGCCTTGTGGCACTCAGGAACCGTTAAAAACGACACAGAAGCCGCTGATGGCCAGGAAACATGCGTGGCGTGCACCACATCAAAGCAGGATTCCACTTTACAAGAAAAATCTTGGTGTCTGTGGGTGTCTACCTAGAAAACCAGGTTGAAGGATGGACTGGAGGAGTGGCTCAAATGGTAGAACATCTGCCTAGCAAGCAAGCATGCGGCCCTGAATTCAAGCTCTACAACCACCGGGAAAAAAAAAATCTATAGGAAGATGTCAGTGGTAAAAGTATCTGGGTATAAGAATTATGGATGATTTTATATTCGTTAGTGATACATGTGTGTGTGTGTGTGAGTGTGGGTGTGATAAGAAAATTAGATTTTTTTACAGCTGTCTATTAGAGGAGCTTCAGTGCTAAATCAGATTTCCTCAACGATACCAGGACTTGAACTCAGGGCCTCTCACTTGGCTTTTCCACTCCAGGCTAGTGCTCTGGCCCTTGAGTCACAGCTCAACTTCTGGCTTTTTGGTGGCTAATCAGAAATGAGAGTCTCATAGACTTTCCTGCTGGGCTGGCTTCCAACTGTGATCTTCAGAGCTCAGCCTCCTGAGTAGCTAGGATGACAGGCGTGAGCCACCTGCGCCCAGATGAAGACGGACATTTAATCATTACATGGAAGCAGCTGAATAGTATTTTCCAAAACAAGTCTGGAGCATCTTTTCTAATTCAGAAGTCTTTTTCAAGGCCGCATGACTCATCCCAAAGTTCTCTCAATGGGCAAACCCTCTTTCTTCCACTGGGTACAAACTCTGAGGGTTCGGGCAAGCGGCTTGCACCCACATAAATAGAAAAGACACAGTCTGCTAAGTAGAGTGGAGCCTGCCTTTTCCAGAAGTGCCTTCAGCCCTGCGTCACGGATCCTGTTCTGCTGTCGGTCCCACCCCCACAGCTGCTGTGCCCCCCACACACACCCGTGGCACTGGGCGGAGATGATGAAGACACCATGCTTACAAAGCGGGGGCCTTTCCAGCTGCCCTGGCACAAGCCACAAATTTTCTCTGCTTGTGGCATATAGTGGCTCCTCCCTCCCCGTCACCCACAGACCCCCTAAGGCTCCAGAAGTGAGTGTGTGCGGGAGGGGAGAGAGTCAGAAGGAGCTGAGCCGCCCAGGGGTGGGGGAGAGCTGGAGGAGCCCCCTTGGACCTCATCGAAAGTGATTTCTTCAGCGTGCCAGTTCTCGATGCTGAAGAGCATGACCACCCGGCCATACTTATCCCTGCTGGAGAGGACCCCAGGGTAGCCGGCCTCGATGGTGCAGCGGACGGCCTCCAGAGACAGGCTGTCGAAGAGTTCTGGGTACTGCAGCCGGAAGTGCACGTAACCTGGACGAGGGAGAAGCAGGGCCTCTAGGGAGCCATCCCAGCCCTAGCTGCCCTCCACCCCAGGGTGCGAGTCGGAGACCTGGCCTCACTCCTGCTCCTCCCCAGCTGTCCTCTCAAACTGGAGACAACTGTATCTCTACACACATAGACACAGACGTTGGCCAGCTCAGCCAGTCGTCCCGGCAGCCCCATGAGGTGCAAGGTACGAAGCTGTTGTGCACTGGGCAGCGTGAGGAAGCATCCTGGACGGGGGTGACTGGTGCCTTCCACACCCCTTGCCGCAGGAACGGGGCACAAGGCCAGCTGAGGGGGGTGTGGCAGCGCTGGGAAAGAGCTCCCCTCACCCCCCATAAAATTCAAACTCCATGCTGGACACGGGTGGCTCAAGACTGTCATCTTCGCTTCCCAAGAGGCTGAGCTCCCAGTTCAAAGCCAGCCGGGTCAGGAAAGTCCTTGAGACTCTCTTATTCCAATTAACCACCAGAAAACCGGAAGTGATGCTGTGATTCAGACTGGTAGAGCACTAGCCTGGAGCAAACGAGCTCAGGGACAGCGCCCAGGCCCTGAGTTCAAGCCCCACCACCACCACCACCACCACCACCAAAACCCAAATTCCAAGCCAGACACAGGCTCTCCTTCATTCCAGCTGCACCTCTACTGTCCGCAGCTCCATCTGTATGCCCGTCGCCGAGTGACCTGCCCATGCAGGAAGGGGTCCTTGCCCATGCCAGGAAGGAGGTGGACAGCCCCCCCCATACCCTCCCAACGGCCGTCTGCCCTCCCCTCCCCCTCCCCCCCCCAGCCAGGCCTCACCTCTGAGCAGCTCATAGGCACGACCCACGTTGAACTTGCGAGCCCGGATGAAGCGAAGGAAGAAGGCGCCATCCCTTCCCTGGACCCTGTCGGCCACCGCCCGGGCCAGCTCCTCCCCAGACGCGGCCTGCTCCTGCACCAGCGCCCGCAGCTCCCGGACCGCCTCCTCCCGAGCCTCCTCCCGCTCATTCAACTCATCCTTGGCCTGGGACAGTGTGCAAACACAGTGTGCGCACACTCAACGCCGGCCACTCCAGATCCGGGCTGCTGAGTTGGGTGTTGGAAGGAAGTGAGGTGAAACCGCTGGTCCTGGCGGTTTTCACAGGGTACCACCCATGGTAGGTGTCGCCAGCAATAACTGCTGGTGCCTTCTGGGCCCTTCTGCTAAGTCGTGTGTGTCTGTGCGCGCACGCACACACACACTGGTAGTGATCTGGAACTCAGGGCCTAGACACTGTCCTTTTGCTTTATCGCTCAGAGCAGGCACTCTACCACTTGAGCCATACCTCCACTTCCAGCTTTTTGGTGGTAGGTTGAAGATTAGAGTCTCACAGACTTTCCTACCCACGATCCTCAGTTCTCAGCCTCCTGAGGAGCCAGAATTCCAGGTGCCTTGGCTGCATCGTGGTTTTTAATCTTTACCACCATCCATCACGGGCTCTATTCTATTCTAGGTTTCTGTTTTGTTTTTGTTTTTTGTCCATCATGGGGCCTGAACTCTGGGTCTGGACGCTGTCCCTCAGCTCTTCAGCTCAAGGCGAGCACTCTACCACTTGATCCACAGCGCCACTTCTGGCTTTTTCTGCTTATGTGGTGCTGAGGAATCGAACCCTGGACCTCAGGCATGCAAGGCAAGCACTCTACCACTGAGCCACCTTCCCAGCCCTACTCTGGGTGTCTGTTGGTGGTGGTGGTAGTGTTTGTTTGCCTGTTTAGACAGGCTCTCACTGTATGGCCCGGGCTGGCCTCTCTCAATCCTTTGGCATCTGCCTCCCAAGTGCTGAGATTATATGCATGAGACACTAGCCACAGCATGGTTGGTATTCTTATTCTTGTCTCTCAGATGAGCAGACAGGGGCTCCTAGCGCTAAAGTATCTTGCCTGGGGTCACCCAGCTAGAAAGGGGAAGAGCTGGGGCTCGGGCTTCGCAGCATCCCTGGCTCTGAGAGTCCCAGGTGGCGTGAGGAGGATGGGAAGCTGGCAGAGGAGGAGTCAGGTGTGGGGGGGCTGTCAGCGCCCTCCAGTGAGGATGCCCAGAGATGCAGACAGGCACGGAGAGCCCCAGCTCAGCTCATCCCACTCCGCACTCTCCCCTGCAGCCCCAAGTCAGCTCTGCCAGCCAGTACTGAGCACCATTTGGCCTTCTCTGAACGGGGCACCGAGAGGGAAAGCTGTGTGTGCAAGGGCACATAGCAGGCTAGAAGGAACCGGCTCTAGAACCCGTGCTTCTTGCCTGTCCGGTGCCACTTTTTTTTCTTCCCTTCAGGACTAAGACTTGAACTCAGGGCCTGACGCCAGCCACTTCCTAACCAGTGCTGCTCATGTCTGGCTCTGGACTGGGGAGCCATCCCAGAGGCTTCAGGCTGTGGTCCTGGACAAGGCGGGCCTGGCTGCTGGTCCTCCCTGTGCTGCCCTGCCCTGGCCTCCAGGACAGCTTCCAGACCAACTCGGGCTCTTCACATCCTGCAGACTCCACACCTGTTTTCCACACCAATCCCGTCCGTGTTGCCTCCAGTGGCTGCCTCCCTCCCCCTCCCCCCTCCCCCCTCACCTTCTGCAAGGTGTGGCGGGGCAGCTGGCTGCACCTGCCAAAGACGGGGCCGTGGTCCTCAGTGGTGAGCTGCTGCAGCTGGGCCCGCAGCACCTGCTCCTCCTCGGAGACCAAGCGGAAGGAGCCCACCTGAGCGGACGAGTGGGCATTGTGAAGGCCCCTCCTTGTGAGGGCCCAAGGCCCACAGAGGGCTCCGTGAGCAGAGATGCTAGCGAAGCAGGGAAGGAGTCCCGGGGAGGGGGGTACTCACCCCTTCTGACATCTTCCTCTGGGGACTCCGCGTCCTGGGGAAGAGAAGGGCCTTGCTGCCTCCGTGCTGGTCTCCAGGAGCTAGCAGGGCTTCGCAGAGGAGGGGAATGCAAAAGTGAGCATGCACTGGGCAGTGTTGTATGCATTTGTTCATTCATTCATTCAGTGCATGCCAGCACTAGGGCTTGAACTCAGGGTCTTGTGCTCTCACTTGGCTTTTTCACTCAGGGCTGGTACTCTACCACTTGAGCCACGGCTCCCAGGTAGCTCTGAAGGGCCTAGTCCTTGGGCTTATGCTGGCAGAAGGGGTTCATGCAAATACCCCCCGCCTCAGCCACGGCGACTCGCTGATCCAGCCAGAAGTAAACTAGAGCCCAACTACGTTCTCGGCTCCAGAGTCTGCTGCAGGACAAGGGTGGTCTGGCCAGCCCTGGAGAATGGCCAGGCAGCCTGGGATGTGGCTCCCCCAGACCCCGCCTCATGCCCACCTCCTCACCCCTGCCCTGGGCTCCCTGGCCCAGGCAGACCCCCCTGATACACACTCACCTCCCAAGTGAGCAGCTCCTCCTGGGGGCCGCCTGCTACCTGCACTGGTGCAGCTCTGCAATGCCTGGGCTGGGGGGCAGGGCCTGGTCAGAAGGCCCGGATTAGTGGGTCACAAGGAACTTCTCACTGTGCCCACAGTTTCCCATTAAATCTGGGCTCCAGGAGGCCCGGAGTGGGGCGGTGGTGAAGCGGCATGGGGAGAGGGGAAGATGCATCAAAGCCCTCCTTTGTGTTCTCCTGTTCAGCCATGTGGAAGCCACCAGCCGCCAGCCATCCGTGGGGCTGGGACCTGGGCTCTGACCTACTTCCCTGCCCTGGCTGTCTCAGGCGGAGGGTACAGGAGGTGTCTGAGCACCCATTCCCTGGGCCAGATACGTGGAGGGGTGGAGGAAGTTATAAACAGAATCACAGATGCAACCCAGGCAAACCCAGGTCTGTGGCCCCCCCTGCCCCCCCCCTCAGCAAAGTGGGGTCAGTTGGAAATGTAGCTGGTGAAGGCTGGTCAGGGGACCAGGCAGGCCAACCTGCCTTCTAGATAATAGTACGGTGTGGGGGGCAGGCTCTGGACCCCAGCTGTCCACTGTGTGTGTGTATGTATGTGTTGCTGGGGATTAAAGCAGGACCCCATACACACTTGGTGCCTGCTCTGCCCTCCCCAGCTCTAGGGTGACCTTTACAGAGGTAAGTAGATTGAAATGGGGTCACCTGGATAGGCCCTAATCCAGTATGCCAGCAACGATGCCTGTCGTCCCAGCTAGTCATCAGACTGAGAGCAGAGGATCTCAGTTCGAAGCCAGGCAAGGAAGTCCATGAGACTCTTATATCCTGGGAGGGGTGTGGGGTGCGGCTCAAAGGGGCCAGCACCGTCGGCGAGTGCCACAGCTAAGGGACAGCACTGGACTGTGAGTTCCAGCACAGGCCCGGGCCAGGCAGCCTGCCAAGGCGGGCGGGCGGCAGGCAGGTGGTCCACAGTACTCAGCAGAGACTCTCGGCCGTAGCTATTGGAAGATCAAGTGCAACTGCATTTCCTTCTTTGTCGCCATTTCCTCTCCTCTCTCTTCCCTTCCCCACCTTCTGGTACTTTCTTTTCTATGTTGTTGTGGGCCGTGGGGCTCGAACTCTGGGCCTGGGCGCAGTCCCTCAGCTCTTGGCTCGGGGCGAGGCGTCTCCCCAGGCCGGAGGCGGCACCTCGGGATTAGAGGAGTTAACTACAGGCGACACGCGCGCGTCCACTGAGCGCTCAGGGCTGCGGGGGCCGGCCCGCGACCCACGCCGGGGCGGCCCGGGCGGCCGGGGCCTTCCCGACGCTTCCGGTGCAAACACCCCGCCCGCTTCAGCTCCGGAGGCTCCCGCTCTCGCCGCGGGCGCTGGGAATCCCCGCCCCCTTCCTCCGGGCCCCGCCCCGCCCCGCCCCGCCCCGCCCGCCCGCCCCCGCGGGCGGAAGTGAGCCTCGGGGCGGGACCTGTTGCCCCGGGTAACGGAAGTGCGGCGGCGTTCCGAGGAGAGCGCGCGCGTTTTGTAAGCCTGGCGGCGGCGGGGACAGCGGCACCGGCTTGTGGTGACTGGCGGTCGGGGTGCGTCGCCGGGCCGGCGGGACGGGAGCGGGCGGGTCTGTTAGAACTCGGGGCGTGGGGCGGGGGGTCTCCTCGCGGCGTGGCCTTCCCGCCGTCCCGAGGGGTTGGGGTGCTCCGCCGGGGGCCCGGGGCCTGCGCGCCTCT